GAAGGGGTGTGATTGAAAGTCTTCCATTCTGAGAATGGCTCAGTACAGATTATTGAAGGATTCTGGTGTTAAGTCTTCACAGATTCTCATTTGTTTTTGTGTTTGTTTGTTTGAATTTAGCCTTTTGTTACAGGTTTCAGGGTAGAGAGGTAGAGAGGTTGCAAACCATCATGCTTAATGTTCTTGCTTCCAGTTGCTTTGCTGGTGTTTCAAGACCTAGTTTCTAGTAGGAGATTTTTATATGAAAACCCAAACCATCAGTCTTGCAAATGTTGCTTTTCAGTGAGTAGTCCCCACTAGGGAGAGGCCACTGTAGTCCAAAATTTATGTGTTCAAGCATCTCTGAGCTTACCCCGGGTGGGAAGAACCTTCTTACCTTTGCAGTGGTCGGGTTGTTAATGCAGAGCACAGTGAAGGCAGTTTTCCTTTCAAACAAAATACATCACTAGGTACTACCTAAAAAGCTTTAGCTACACCCAGGAGGCCCCATGTTTTGTGCAGTCTTTGGGAGAAGTTCAGTAGGTGTAGGTTACTTGGCCCCTTTTAAAGGACATTTAAAGCTGGCAAAATGATCGCTCCTAAAAAAGCTCTGTTTGTGAATGGCCCTCTGTCTTCTCTAGGGCTCCTGTTCTACCCACCAGAAGTGTTAGTTTCCACAGCTTTATCCATCCCAACCTTTTTCCCTGATGTGAAAGGAGATTCTTCACTGCAGCAATTGTCTCCTTTGAATCCCTGTCAGTCTTTGCTTTTTACGCGAGAGATGCCATCCGACTGCACAGCACGCTTGGGAAGATGTAAAGCCCCAGATGGCTGTGCCCAGCACAGGCTTCACTTGACAGCAAAGGTAAAAAAAAAAAAAACAAACAAAAAACCACTACCAAAGCTACCCGATGACATTAGTTTTAATCATGAATGATCAATGCAAAAATGTTTTAGACCTTTTCCCACACATGATATTAAGGGCAGTTTTATCTTGAATTCTAATTCATTAATGCAGTGTTGCACAAGTGCTTTATATGTCTCTTTTATGTCTGGTGAAACATTTACAGGGAGGGTTTTGGTTTTTTTCTCTCTTCATTGTGGCAAAAGGCAGAAAGACCATGAAATGGGAATTTCTTTCAGGTGCCAGGATGTAAGGGCAAGGCAGTCACAAGCCCAGTGATAGAGGAGGCTGTCGACCTTGTACTTGAAGGGGCAGGGACCCCTGCCAGGTGCAGGAGCAGAGCCCTGTGTGCTTTACCTTGTGTGCTCTGTTGCTGTCCCAGCTGTACAGGGTGATGAGCAGGTTTGGGGATGCCTGAAAAATAAATTACATCAGTCTACTATGCATAATATGCCCTAAAGTGGGAGTAAAATTTTTATTCAGTGTTGAGGAAGGGATAGTAGTGGTGATAAATTTTCATTCTGGTAGGTTTGAGCCTGAGCAAACCTGATCTTTTGGAGGCTAAAAGGAGTTGGATCTGATAAGGATGCGCAACACTACAGCGTGCTGGTGGTCCTGGGTTCCTCTCCCAAGTGCATTTAGCAGAACTTAGCCTGTTTATCCTGATAATTAGAATCTAGTTTTCTATTTAATATTTACTAATAACACCGTGCACTTACAGAGTCTTGTAACCAAGTACTTGACAAACCTTAATGGAATAAGCCTCATAGCACTCTGGGGAGGGAAGTGAATACTATTTTGTTTATCATGCTGAAAGAGTAAGATGATGTAATTGTACCTCCCTGAGTTTATTTATTTCTTGTCTCCCATTATCTGTCTGATAAAAAACACTAACTAGCAAAAAAATCAATTGTTTTAGAAATCCTTCTGGTAGTATAACTATAAGACTAGTAACCAATTTAGACAGAAGCATAGTTATTTTAAATATTTCCAGTAACTCTCTCTAATGAAAGCTATTGCATTTGGATATTCACATGTGGATATTCACTTGTAGGATGTGCAGCTGAATAGTGACGAGGTTTTCTCTACAAAAACTATGATGAGATAGAGTGGGGCACCACGAGCGCACAAAACGATGCTGTGGGGCCAGGTGAGAGGTGCTGCAGCAGATGGGAACAGCCAAGAGAGATCAATTATTGGGTGGAAGATGCAAAGAGCACCAAAATGTCATGCCATGATAAGGATTGGGAGGGTAAGGAGAGTGTATGTTGTTGTATGTGCAGGTTGTATGTGCAGAGGCAATGGAGAGATCTCTATCAGGCACTGCTTGTGAAACCAACTTTAGGAATAGGTGAAAGAATTGCTGAATAAAAGGCAGGAGGCGACTTGTATGGGTGATGTTACTGCTCATGTGAGTTGCTTTTCTCTGTTGTCAGTACATACTGGGCTTTACAAGCTGGAATTACTTACCATACCCTCGAAGTCTATCATCTGCCCGTGCAATTGCTGGAATTAACACTGTGCTTTATGCAAATGAAAAAAAAAGGTACTTCTTGGTTTATATGAAGCTGAGATGGGATTTTATTAGTCCTAATTTAAAGGTAATGCACTAATGGCAGTATTTGTCAGATGGGTTGTGTGAAAGCTAGTAGGAACTGTGGGAAAAGAATCCAGGACAATGATTTGGGCTTGTTTTCACATTCCAGCCCAGAGTGCCTTCTGATACAGCACAACAGCTGAAATGTTTAAGGGAATCACATTTTACTTCTTCTGGCTCAGAACAGCAGCAGCAATTTGGCAAATGGGCCCAACATTCCAATCCTGCTTCATTTTAAATGACCAGGTGTCCACTCACTTTCCTGCCTTGTTTGTTGTCAAAAAGTGGAGCTTCTTGCTCACTGTGGAGTTCATTCTGTGTGACCGTGTGGTGTGTGATACCTCCCCTTCAATCAACATGATGGCATAAGACAGTGAAGGAAGACTTCTTCATATTGCATATTTTCTTCCTGTCAGTCTGCCCAAAAGATACTGCCAGTGTTGGGCCATGAGCTACAGCAGTTTTGGGTTTTGGACATATCCCTGCAATAAACTGGTGAGGTATCTTCTCCTTAGAGCTCCTGAGATTTCTTCATGACCCCTGTGTGTCAAGATGAAAATACCCATAGGCTTGCATTTCAACAGAAATATCTGGTATCTTTTAAAACATATTTTTATATATCTACATATGAATGAAACTATAGTAATAAAACATTACATCAGATTTAAAAAATTATTTTCTCCCTCCCTCCCTCCTTCTTTCCCTTTCCCTTTCCCTTTCCCTTTCCCTTTCCCTTTCCCTTTCCCTTTCCCTTTTCCCTTTTCTTTCTTTCTCTCTTTGGACTCTTATCTACTTCAGATGAGAAAGCCTAACTAAAATGCTGGACTAATTGTTAATTATAGGGATTATCTGTAGACTGCTGCATTCAAGATCTAACTCTGAACTAGAAATGCATGTATATATTCATATGATAGGCATACATCAGTACTTCTAAAAATGCCACTATAGAATTGAAACTAAATCACCATGATATTTTCATTCATTCGTAATAGTATATCTGAAATATTTCTTGAGAATTCTTTAACTCTAGTAAGCATTAGTTCAGAACCTAAAAAAGGCAACCTCAAGGATTTCTGCTTTTTTTTTGGCAGCCCTCTTTATATTATAATAATAATGCTACTAATACTTACAATAATTTTAAGAACAGGAATAGTAACAAATGTTAATCTACGATATGCTTTAAAGTACTTCCCCATGACATTTAAAAATTCTAAGTATAATTTAGTCTGATATTTTTATGCCATCATAAGTAATTTTTATTCATTTTAAACACAATTCTAGTTATATATATCAGCTTTGTTTAGTATACTCTGCAGCTAAGAAAATGTATTTCCATGGTTGTAAGGTGTAAAAAAATTAGCAGTTCTTAATAGAAACATAAATGTTATCTAGTCTTTTTGATACAATTAGCAAGTATCAGCAAAAAATCCTAGCCTTGGATTTGTTTCCCATTCCAGATAATTCATTACAAGCACTGCCTAATAAATTTAGCGGTTTGAAATTGATTTATGCTGAACCTTTGTGGTATTAACGTTCTTGTTTTATAATTACGAGCAAAAAGAGCATAACCTTTTCCTAATATATGGAAAAGAGATATGTGATGTTTCAGAAAAAATCGTATGTCATTGTTTTTACTTTTCTCTCTGTTGTTAGCCATGCTCTCGGTTCTTCAGCTAATGCTGATGCACAGTGACACATAGTGAAAGTACCAAGACTGCAGCAAAACTATGTGCTTCTGTCTCGTTGTTGGGAATACAACACGTAGTCTTTCAGCACACTCCGTAATTACTGAAGGAGCCTACAGATCCTTGCAGGGTTTTGGGGTCTTTATTATACAAAATTAACAAAATCTCTCATACCACCTACTTTTAAATGTTAAACAGTTTTGTCTGTTAAGCAGACAAATAAGTTCTGATTTTAAACTACTCTGAGCAGCATTGGTTACATGTGTTTGTTTCTCAGAACTATTTTCAACATGATAATTCTCATGAAATATGAGGTATATTAAGATAAAAGCAGCTTGTATTTCATTCTACCCGTTAAAGTTACGAAGTAAATGCTGTTCTGGATTGGTCCTGATGCTGAAGTAATGAAGTAATGTCAAATCAAAGATTTTTTTTTTTCCTTCTCTGGATTGGTGGTCTCTCTTACACTTTAAATTCCCATTAATTTAGTTAGAGAGGTTGACACTTAAATCCCCAAACAACCTACGTGCAGCTGCACTGTCTGTTTAAAGGGCAACTCTTCTCCCTGGCCTCATCCAACCTGTGGTCTGCCGAGGTCTGGGCAAGTGGAGCTGTGTAATGGAGCTGCTATGTGGGATCAGGAAACAAAAGCTGTTCAGGAAATAGTATAAAGTTATTCTATCTTAAGAAAAAAAAAAAAGCAAAAAAAAAATAAGCAAAATTTTTTTTAATACTGCTATGTGATGAAAACTAGACCATGAGCAAGGTTTTTCTCTTAACAGCAGATGAGCTTCTTTTTGTTTGTTTGTATTTTTTTCCTTGGCAAAGTACCACCTCTCCATCCCAAAATTATTGAAAAACATCCAATACCAGACAATTAAGTGAGGAGCTTCATAAGAAGAATGTTTTTTATCTGCATAAAATGTAAGTTGAAAAGAGAGATTTCTGATCAATAATTCTATTTCGACAAGAGGAAAACTTCCTATGAATCCCTTTTTAATAGGCTGTAAGAAACCCCCCACCCTGGTTCTCTAAGAGGCACCCATCTCGTCACTGGAAAGCAGCTGCTGCTTGCAACTGATTTTAAAAGAGATCTTACCTTATCTCACCTGGGTGCTGGTATGAGGTCCTGAAAATACCTACAGGTGCCTCATCCTCCTTTCCCACATTCCCTCTGCAGTTTGGGAGCCCCTGCAGAGATTAAGTGTGTTCCATGCATAAGGGCAGAAATCTAGAAGAGCATTTAATTCAAGTGTGTGAATAATCTTACTGAAGTAATTTAAAGTAATCGTATGTTCTTAAGTGTGTGCTTAAAAGCTTTGCTAGGCTGGGGCATGGCCTGCCCCCCTCCCCCAAACACCATACAAAATCAGATCTGTGGCCAGAGATCTACCACATCAAGCAGGATTTCTTCCCATGCCTTCTGAACTTGAATCTAGTCAGCTATTTTATACTGTATCTGCTTGTGTTTCATGCCACGTGAAATACTCCAAAATATTGAAGAGAAGATTCTCAAGAGGTTAAAAAATATAAAATGTGAAAGATGTAGTAAGTGAAAATTGCAAATATGACAAAATTGATAAAAAAAGTACTTAAAGGAATTATGAATGCTAAAACCAAATATGTTTTTTGTTATAAAAGCATATGCCTGGGACTTGCCTGTTAACAAAACTGCAATACACAGAAACAGTGAAAAGTCCCTGTACATTAAAAAACTACTAAAGTTCAAAAATTAAACCTGCCCTTTTTTTTTTTTTCTTTGTCCACATTCAGTGTAGTCAGTTTGTTCTAAAGACCATCCCTTTTCTGTTTTAATGTCCTGTGTTCTTTGGTTTTGTTTTTGATTGTGATTTTTGAGAAAGTAAATGTCTTGGATAGTTTGACAGAAGATATTATCACACAGGTAATATACATTACATTTAGAAGCTGATAAAATGGATTTGGATTTCCTTTGCTGTGCTGCAGTGTTGATGATGCTTCAGAAAATGTAATATAAAGGGACTTTCTATCTTTTTATAATTTTAGCTGTTTAAGACCACTATCAAAACCTGGTTTTGAATGAATGTATATGAATCAGGAATATGCATGATATTAATAACTCTCTCTTCCCTGTGCTGCAAGAGAAATAGGCTGTGTTATACTACAGTTTGTGAACTATTCTTTATTTGTTTGAAATGCTATTATTTTCCCAGTTAATTCAGTTTTAACCGTCCATTCAATTTCAAAATATAAGTGAGTTCTGTTTACCCAATTTCTTACTGGGTGGATGTTGTGGTATATGCAGAGTATATTTATGGTTTAAAAGAATGATTGTTCAGCAAACTTACTGCATAATAATCTTTACTTCATTTTTATACTGTAAGTGGTTAAAGCCAAGTGTACATGAATATATAATGTGTTCCTCCAGTTTTGTAGCATAGAAATACATTATAGTGGTGAGCTACTAAGACATTTATTCCAAAGGAAATGCAGAGAGTGATTTAGAAATGCCAATAACAATAATGCAATTACAGTTGCAAAACATCTTAGTTGACCAAACAAATCTTTTCTAAATGCACCTAGAATATTTCTTTAGCACATTTAATTAAGTATATATTCAGCATATTTAGTTTAGGACCCAATTAAGCACCAGAAGCATAGTGGTATAAAATACAGCCCTTGCCTTCCAGGCACTTCGGCTTAAATTCAGCAACAGTTGCATTTGGAGCTATAATACTGCTGCAAAGATGGGAAAGACAATACAAGCACAAGAAGCCATATTGCAAAGTGGCACTGGTATCTACAGTAATTATAGCAATCATTCAGATGTTCTAGCAGTCGATAGAGCTGAACTTTAGACAGGTTGCAGCTCTTAATTTATTAATGCAATATTTTTTCTTTATGAATTTCTCAAGTCAATCTCTTCCTTGCACATGTGCAATTAGTTGTGTTAGAGTCTCTTCAAGTTTTTAGGAATGGATCCTAGTGCAGTATTTACAACCACCTCTGCGTCTCTGGTTTGTATATCAGCCTGTCAAGATGTCTCAGAGGCAAAGAGCAGAACACATACAGGAAAAGTGACAGTGACACGAAGTTACATCTCTCAGAACAGTACATCATGATACTGAAGAAGCAGAAGACTTTGACAATAAGGTCTAAACAGAAGGACGTTTTGACCTACAGTATAACAGCAGATTAATGACTCGATCATACTAACTGGCCCTATTTCCAGTGGCCGATAAAAAGCTGCTGTTGATGTTTGTCCAGCTCCTGTCCTGTGCAGTCTGGGTGCCAGGCAGGATGAGGCAGGGAGCAGTGCTCAACCTGCGTGCCAGCAGTGGCTGTCACTTGGGAGGACAAGGGGCACCATCCAGCTTCCCTTACAGCAGGGGTCCCATGCTCACAGGCATTGCCAGCTACCAGGCAATGTTCATATGTGCCTGCCGGTACTTTCCAAGGCATTTGCACATATGCCAGGAAATCACTTGTCTCCTCCTATAAAGAAAAGCCGTGCTGCATGTGCCTGGCTGCATGTTTCTGTCTGGCTGCCCTCGCTCACGGTCCAGTAGAGCAGCTCCTCGAGCTCGGGGATTTTCACAGCTTCATCTTCCCCTTGCATTGTTGTGAGTAGTAAAGCTATCATTTTTCTCATGCCGTCCTTGATGTGGCGTAAAGCTTTATCTCAGGGTTAGAGGAGCAAGGTGCCTTTGTGGTGGGTGGTGCCTGTGGAAATAAGTCCCTTCTAGAACTGATGGGAGGGCTATCGCTTGAGTTCAGGAGCGGGTGCCAACACTGGGCATGGTGGCACTAATGGCAGAGGCTCTACCATAGAAGCAGAACCTGCAGCAATATCTTTTGCGACTACCAGAATTTGTATGTGTTTTCAGGATGGGCATATGGTTCACCTTTCTGAGATTTTTTTTCATTGTTGACTGATGATCCCTGTTACAGCAGCATGTCCTTAAACTCCAGTGTGTGCCTGAGGTTTAGGTTAGGCAAACAATGGAAAAATGCTAAAAGGAAAAACCTCTGAATGTCTCGTAAAGGATTTCTTGCCCTTGAAAAATTGATAGGCTGTCATTTAACCTTGTGGCACCTCTTCAAGCTGTCAATCAGACGCTGAACATTTGAGACTTGTGAAGTATGATACGGAGTAACAAAATGGTATCTGCTCATTCAAAATTGTGAGTATTGAATTAATCTCTTGAAGTATCTTGATAACAGATGGAATAAAAGATCATATGGCACAGCTCACATAGGGTAAGGTTAACCCCAGTGTCCTACTCAGTGTCCCTTTTCTCGTTTAATGCCACTGCTAATTAACTGGCACGAGTGTTTGCAGCCCTATGTGGGATGTTGCTGAAAGCCTGCTGACTTCTGGCATACCTTGACACAATTGCTACATGTACAGTACTGCCTGGTTTGGTTTACTTTAGTTTTGTGCTGGGGGCCCTTAGCAATAGGCTCCTAAATGTACTCATGGGTCACTGCATGTGCTTGCAAGTGGGGGTGGTTCAGTTGCCTCATCAGAAAGTTGATGAGGTGCTTTGCTTTTTGGTCTCTGTATCTGCTTCTCCAGCAGCAGCACAACTTTCAGATCAGGCTGAAGAAAATAAAGCTGCTAAAGATGCTGGTCTTCTCCTCAAGTTTTCCTTCACATTTTGCACTTCATGTAGGTTTTTATCAGGGCTTGAAATAGGAACTATGGCACAGGGCCCTTCCCTTGTTATAAACAGGAGGATGGTATTTCATGGTATCAAAGCTGTGGTTTCAGTTCAATAGGTTCCAGAGTAAACTTTTTCCTCCAAAGCTACATTTAGGTACAGGGTAAAATTATCTTTTTTCCTGACTAAACAAAGGAAAATATTCCTGTCTTTGTTTGTCTAAGTACTTACATTTTAATATATCTGTGCCTTTGAGTCAGTAAGTGCCAAGTACATTTATGAGTCTGTGTATACAAGGATAACTGGAACATCCCATAGATTCTCTCCCACATCTCTTCTGTTTATGTTATTTCCATGGCATATTATGTGATGTGACCCCATCAAAAATACTATGTACAACAGGTCATCTGTGTGCACAGATGATAAATTCAGTTTAGAATGAGTACCAAGAAGATCAGAAGAATGGAGAGCCTGTCTTGTGAGGGAGACTTAAGGAGCTTGGCTTGGATAGACTAGCAAAACAAAGGCAGAAAGAGGATCCGATTGCTTACCATAAATACTTTAGAGGGATAAACACCAGGGAGAGACAAGACTGTTCAAGCTACAAAACAATGTTTTCACAAGCATAAATGGATATAAACTAGCTATGAGTAAAGGCAGGTTGAAGATTGGAGAAAGATTAGACCATGAATGGAGTGAAGTTCTGGAAGAGCCTGCTTCTGAGGGTAGCAGGGGACTTTCCTTATGGGAACTGGTGATAGCTTTCCAAGAGGAGCTGCACCACATTGTAGCCTGGGACACCAGGGGCCTGGATTTGACATCTGAGAAGATCGTTCTCGTTTCTGAGTCCCTGTATCCCTATTTAATGCAAGGTTTGTCTTGTACAGATATGCTGGCAGGGCTCTTTCCCCCCTCATCTATCTAACTGGGGTACATATGAGGCTGTGACTTGCTTTTCTCTCTGAGCATCATGCTGGTGAGATTAGAATCAGGACTTAAAAGAAGATACAAGAATAAGTAATGCTGTGATCTTTCAGAGGATGTTTTATTTTCATCTCTATTTCTTTTCTTAAATGCGTGTGATGCACAGAGATTTTCCTCCTTTGTATACCAATGGTACTTTTTTGTCAGCTTTTTGGCATGCAGCATTAGGAAGGAAGTTGTCCTAGTGTTAAACAGCAGACCCAGGAACTGGGAAATACTCCTGCTCTCTACGTGTAGCAGGAGAAGGCTATTCTTCAACCTGAAGGGGCTATAGAAGGTAACACATTATGTTGGCAA